CATAATTAAATAATTAAATACACAATTAAATTACTTATTTCATGATTGATTTATTTATTTAATTTTGTCACTATATGTTGGAGGACAGAATGTGACAAAATGAAATAAATAAATACATAATACAAAAGTTACATTTCATTATTTAATTGACTTGACTTGACTTAAATTATTTATTTATGTATTTTATTTTGTCATTTTCTACCCTCCGGTGGCATTGTGGCGTCCAACGTATGGTGACAAAATTAAATAAATAAATGAATCATGAAATAAGTAATTCAATAGTGCATTTATTGATTTAATTATGTATTTAATAATTAAATGATACATTTCATTATTATGTATTTATTTATTTCATTTTGTCACATTCCTTCCTCCATACCCAGCAGTTATTGCCATTAAGTAAGTTTGTTATGGTTAAAAATCTATTTTTATTTAAAAATGAACCCATTGGTGGGCCGAATTGAGCTAACCCGTAGGCCTGATTTGGCCCCCGGACCGCCAGTTGAAAAGCCCTGCTCTAGACGTGAAAGACATACTTCCTGCAAACTGACTTCTGTAACAAAGTATTTGTCACCTTAAATATGCCAGAAGTGTTTTATGTTTCCATTTTAGAGTCTTTAAAGTTCAGTCCAGTTCAGGAAACACAAACAATGATTGAATAGGCAAAGAAAAAGTCCGTGTCTGCCTCGGTCCAAATGTTTTATTTACACACAACAAATTTGACTTCCTTAAGTTTCACTGTTAAAATGATTCATAGTTTTATTTTAAAGTTTCTTTTCAATGACGGCCATATGGAGATTGTCCAGGGGCCACTTTTGGCCCACGGGCCGTACATTGCTTGTAAAGGAATGCTGCTCAGTTCGACACCAAAGTTTTAAACCAAGTCATTGCACAGTCAGCTAGCACTCAGATTATGTGAAGGGGATGACTCTCAGCTACTACTTTGTCTTTTCCTTAACATCTGTAAAAATTAGCTGTGTCGGCCATTTTGAATCAGGTTGACTTTGAATTTTGCCCACACAGACAGAGGCAGTTATCTGGTGACCATCTTCATGGTACATTTGTGCCAAAAACTCTCCAATAAAACAGTTTAATTTTAATTTAAATGCAAATAAAACTGAATGAATGTAACTAAAATATTAAGTGATTAGACTAATTTCAATTAAATAAGTCTTGTTTCTAAAGTGGTTCCAGTTTCAAACGTTTCAGAAACAAAGCTGCTCTGAAAAAAAA